AATAAATGCTATAGAAACTGATTATACAATCTACGTAATGAAAGAATTAAATGTTAATTTTAAAAGAGAACAGGTTAATTTTCCACTTTGGGATCAATGCGCAAATATTAAATTTAAGACTTTTCCAATATACTCGTACTATGCCATATCATCCATATTAACGAAAAAAACAAACCGATATGGTTCATTACGCACACTTCACGAATCGACCGAGTGCTTATTGTCCTTAGGTAATCCATGAACCTTCGATGTTTCAGACACTCTATAATACATGTGCTTTAGCTACTTATATTGGAATTCGAGCAATGTATGTATATGATATTTTCTAATGGCGGCTCCACACGCTTGGCAAATAGACGACAACGATTATGAAAAACATACTCTGTTTGCCAGTCATCGGCGTCGGTGTCGGTGTCGGTTCTTAGAACGAATCGAACAATGCACAAAATACACTAGCACACTTTCCAAGTGAGTTGATATGCATGTTAGTGTTGAGTGCTGTTGTTTGGCATGTGTTTGCTGTTTGAAGCAAAAACCTATAGAGCTAACATATTAATTAATATAATACCCGAACACCAAAAAAAACATTCTTTGTATTGAATAGACACCACACACTAGACCTTAACATTCCTAGCACAGAACATCATGAAAAATACAATATATTGTGTGAACAACTTTAAATAAGATAAAAATCTTACCTGACTTATCGAGTGTACACTCTACTTCATAACCTGGTACATATTCAGAATCCTGAAATGAGATAATTTTACAATGACACCCTAATAATTAATGTAGAATGTTGAGTATTCGATATTATATAGATTTTATAGGTTGGGAAAAAACAATGCACCATAATAACCCTTTTGCATCATTTGCATGAAATCATCTGTTGAATTTCATGGCTGGAGTTTGTGATAGTATTTTAAATTACTTCCTCATCCTCCTTATTAATCAGATAATTAGTGGGTATAAATTTTGAAAAGGTTAAAAATCAAGTGGGGAAAGTTTATAATTTGTAACTTGACATACTGTAGACTATCATCTACCAAAGTGAGTGTTGCTTCAAAACATAACATTTTAACCTTCTTATTTCACTTTAATTTTGAAATTAAATAACACATTTTTTTTTATTGACCAACAATTTATTTCATAACATACAACAATATAAATTTATTTAGTAATACACAAAAAAAAAGAAATTAATCAGGATAAAAATATAACTGGCCTCATTATTTTTGCAATCAGTATACTTTTATGTTTATCTTGGGATAAAGAGCTACATATGTGATATACCAATGAAGATACTTACAGATATAGCATCTTCACTACTATCTAACTCAGCCTTTACTGTGACTTCGACAGATTTCTCTTCATCTGTTGTTGGAACATTCGCTGATAGAACTTGATCTCTACTCAAATTAAGAGCTGTTTCGTTTGAGGGTGATGAGCATTGTTCTATCGGCTCAATTTTAATACTGAAACAAATAGAAAATGATTGATGTTGACCAGGAACATTATGGAAACTTACCAATAATGTAAAGAACTTTAAAAATTAAATTGAGTGAAACTTTACATCAGATTCAATTATGGTTATTCAATCCAAATGCATGAATTATAATATATATTTGATTTATACTAATATGATGTAACATGTGTTGTTAATGAACATTTAATATACAACTTTTGAATGGTTTAATGTGTGTGGTTAAATTAAAAAATAATAAAACACATTTCCATATGTGACAAATAGGATCAGAGTCTATTCAATAGCTTTTTAATTATAGTTTTTTATTTGTTAATGTAAATTGTTATTATACTTTAAAGTGAAAAGAGGGACCCAAATAGCCATCATTTTCAAGTAGGAAATAGCATCCTGCCAATTTTTGTAAATATAAGAACGGGTTTAGTATATGTTTGTTGTACCTAACTGTTATAGCTAGTTAAGCTGGAAAAAATATGCTACCCATAATTTGATTTGGTTTGCAATTTACAGAAAGTAGCAGAACAAAGTTTCATAGTTTAAACTGAACATTTATTGAGGAACAACTCCAATCCATAGAAAGGCTTTTAAATTTTCTAGGCTCTATAATGAAAAATGAAAGTTTTTATTGGATATTATTCTTAATAAAATGATACCTATATTATTATATATCTATATTATCCAGGGTTCAAATGATACCATTAACTTTTCAGTATGTATATATATTACTAATAAAGTATTTTGGTATAAGCAAGTAGTGATTATTACCTCACATTGTGGAGTTCATCTTTAATATTTACAAATTCTGAAGTGGTTCCAATGGGATAATTTTGATCGGTTGTACTTGAAACACCGGGCTCTTGTTTTATGTAGAAACATTCTGTAGACATTTTTCACATAAACCTAAATTAAATTACAATGGTTTATTTATTTAAAAATTACAAAACTTTCTGTTTATTTATTGACAATGTTAAAATAAATCTTGTACACATCAACACAGACCAAGAGATCAAGAGATCCATAACATTTTTTTTTACTTCTTAATTTCACGATTACGGTATTTTTGCCTACGTTTTAAGTTTCGTCTATAGCACAGGTCTATAGCGGATTAAGGGATTCGCGGAGCGGGCCGTAAAATAGCCTGTAAAATCGCTATTCGCCATGACATGAAATGAGAAAGTATTTAAAAAAAAAATTATTTCCAAAATCAAACTAGATGTCGCTACGGAACAGTCTTGATTTCTCCATGACAATCTTTCGGATTTTCTTTCGTGTTTAAAAGTAAATTAGTTTTTAAAACTCAATTAACAACTCATATTCTATTTCTACTTTTTCGTATTAGTATTGATATCTAAGTTTCGAACTTTTCAAATTTCAGTTTTATAATATAAACATTAACTTCATCTTCATTAACTTTTATAATATTTTTTATTCAGCCCATTTATTAGCGTAGATTATAGAATAATACATAAATATTTTTTTGTACCTAAAAATAAATTATTTACGTACAGACGAAAAGTAGAATAATGGTAAAAACAACGATGTGTTTTAAAAATAAAGTGAAAAATATAGCGATATTATTCCGTTATTTGCAATTTTGCGAAAATAAATACTCAGTAAAACCATTCATGACGTTACCAACGGTCCTAAAACGATTTTTCATGCTTCGAATCAACTTATCAAAGTCTTGCTGCGGGATATTGTCCCAGTTCCTGGAAAGATGCAAAAAAAGTTGCTCTTCAGTGACAATGTTTGTAGGTAAATTCCTCAAAGCCCTTCTTTGGAGCACTTCCCACGCCTGTTCTATGAAGTTTAGATCTGGTGTTTGCTCGGGTCCGTCTAAGACCGATACATCGTGCTCCTGCAGCCTGGAAGCCTACTCTAATTCACCGAAAAACGAAATTTCGTTCGAAACTTCGGACGTTTCCTACCACAATTACGTTCGTTCCGAATATTCAACGAACGAAAATGTTTGACATATTTATTTTCTAAACCTACTCTATTTCACGAAATGACAAAACGAACATTTGAGTTTGACATCTAATTGTTCGGAATTCTTACCTCAAATTGACGAAGTAAAAAATGTTACCTTTTCATTTTCGTTAGCAATTTTTTATTTTCGAAATGGGGTCTATATTACTATTAATCGAGTCAGCTCTCAGTAAAGAACGATTAGACCGTAGAAGAAATCGGCAGCGGCTTCGAAATAGCCTTAATATAAGAAATATTCTCGATACTGAGTTTGTAAGTATTTACAGACTCAGTTGTGAATTATTTCAAGAACTATGCCAAGAGAATATACCTTTACTGCGTCCACAGGCAAGATCTCATGCCATCGAGTCCACAATTAAACTTAGAAGATATTTTATCGTAGTTCTTGATAAAAAAAATTGCATGCCTACCATTATGCATTTCATATTTTTATGATTCTTACAGCGTTGAATTTTTATGCCCGTGGTAGTTACCAAGGATTCGTATCTCAAAACATGGATGGGCCTATGGCCCAACTAACAGTTTCACGGTGTTAGGAGGTTAGGACTGTCCTCAATTCACCAGATAGGTATTATAAGAAAAAATATTATTCCCTCAAAACCAAAATGAAAGGAATCTTATTAAGAGACAGTGAGTACCTAATAGTTTATTGTTTATTTTGGCTTTATGTATGAATTGTGAATAATTACCTATAGAATTATGTCATTAATATTACAGATTTTACGAGGCATATAGGCTAAGCCATTATACCTGAAAAATATGACTGATAAAAAGTAAATTTATTACTAAAAACCTTTTTTTGTGCCGAAAAACTAAATATTACTTTCATACTTACTTATAAAGTTTTTTACTGAATTGTCAAGATAAATTTCGGAACTCACAATAATTAAATACAATATTAGTAAACACTGAACAGTTTCGTGAAAACTTGTAAAACTTTTGGCGGGATGAGAATCGTTTGTATTATACGGATATTTAAGATTGCCATACGTTGATTATAGCTATCGTATAAATGAAAGGTTGTTTTTAAATATGTCGATTAATACTGTGGATAAAAGAGTTCTTTATAGTGTCTTGATAAGTTGTAACGAAAAATAAAATTCATTAATATACTAAGTTTTTCGTTATATTATTATAATATTTTATGTTTAAACATTGTTTAGCCACTAAAATTTTATTTAAAAGAAATATATGTATTGTTTAATATTATATATTTTAAGTTACGGTAAAAACCGGAATTAGACATTATAAGAAATCCAATAACGCCATTCACTCCAATCGATCACGAAAATTGTCTTTGGAAACGAACATTCGTTGGTGTATACGAAAATGATAAAGAGTAGCGTTCCATGCGAAATTTCGTTTTAATTTCGTTCGTAAACGAAATTTCGTTTTCGAGAAAGCGAGTAGGCCTCCAGGTGGTGACCACTCGCGCTGTGTGGAGACGATTATTGTCGTGCATAAACGTGAATTCTTGACCCATTTGCAGTCGATGTGGGTAGACTATTGGTTGAGGTTTTCAGCGGTCATGGTGTCTCTATCCGTCGAAGTCTGTTCTTCCACCAACATGAATTTCCGCCCAAACCATAATCGTCCCGCCATAGTAGGGATAGACTTCCTTAGGGTGTTGCAGGCGGCTCACACCAAGAATTCGCCATACGCGTACTCTTCGCGAATCAGGATGAAAACCGAATCAGGACTCATCGGTAAATAGCACTACCGCTGGCTACCTTTCCAGGGCAAATGTTCACGAACCTACTGTAATCTCCTTACACGATTTCCTCGTCGTAATGTAGGACTACGAAGCGGTCTGCGAGCATGAAGTATAGCTTCATGCAGTCTTCTTCTTACAGTTTGGTCACTCACAAGCAACTAGTGCTCTGACTGGAACCTTTGAACCAACTGCATTTCCTTAACATTTGGTTCCTTTTCGCAATTTGCAATTATCGGTCTTGGTGTTGGGTGGTTATGCGCTTCCCGCCTAGGTGTCTTTCAGCCACTTCACCAGTAGCACGATAACGTAACCATAACCGTGATATCAGTTTTGTTTTGTTCCGATGTCCTCAGCCATACTCCTTTGACTAACCCCAGCTTGGAGCATGCCTACTGCCCTTAACATTTCCTCTCTTGTTAAATGGCGTCGCTGTATAATGCATACAGTAGCACAAATTCAAATTAAACAGCTAACTTGTTTTAAAACTTTCGATTAATACAAAAAATTTTCAAAAACGATGGTAGGTAAATTGAAAACTTCGAACTTCGCTTGAATTATGCCACGCAAATCTTTTGATTGAAATTATTTTTTTTTAATTTAAATTTGGAATCATAAGAAAGGCGTATAAAATAAGTTTTCATCAAAAAATTTTAAAACAGGCCAGTATTTTTTGAATTTAGAACTTTATACAAAATATCCCTAGACGATGTTGATGTGTGTATCTTAATTAAATGGAACGGAAATGACTGTCTTTGGTCCATTCGTTTCCTGCAAAAATCAACTTTTGCTAGAGTCGCCATCTAGTGGAGGTGCTTTTCTAGTGCTTTCGTTTTTTTTTAAATACTTCCTCATTTACATCTACATGCAATTCTATTCGCAGTTCTTATATTATAAAGTACTCTATGGAAATATGAATACTTTCTCGATCGCAATTGATCGAATAATTTTCATTCGATCACATTCCTTAAACGAATTATAGAATCATGGATTTTTTTACTATTATAATACCTTCAATCAAACAGTGATGAAACAAGCAAAATATCTTATATCTCTTTTGCTTATACACAATTAACTTCATCTACTTTCTCTTTCTCCCGTTCTTACAAGATCGTCCGCGCCGCTAACCGGAGACGGTTCGACAACTTTTTTCAACCGAGGAAAAAACTTGATATTGCGTTATATTTATCATACATTTTTAACTTTATTATATTATTATAATTTTGGCGAATGTCTGCAGAGATTTGGAAATCCCCCCACTCCCTTGGCCCACTACTGTTCGGGACCAATAATATAGATGTGTCTTTCTTATGAGCCGCGACCTATTGATGGCGTGATCGAATCTTATTGTAAGAGAAAAAAAAATAACAAGCAGTTGCATTTGTGAATTATGAATTCTGTGAAGTGCATTTCTCTGACGGCAATATAAAAGAACTGCGACACAGATGATCGAATCTTTTTAACCCGATCGCATTACGCAACGTAAAATAGGGCATGAAATAAATCGAATAACGGTAAACGGAATACATCCCCAGCTACAGAGCGCTTTTGTAAAAATCCGGAACCGAACTCGAATTTACTCATGTGCCCGAATTCACGTCATTTAGCGTATAAAATCTATTGATTCCATTTTTAACAACAAAACTAAAAAATTCAGGGTTGAACGAAATCTGCTTTTGAAGTGAATCCGACTGAATGAGTTTAAAAAAAAAAGAAAAAACTGAAAAAGCACCTCCGCTAGATGGCGACTCTAGCAAAAGTTGATTATTGCAAGATAGTCATTTCCGTTCCTTTTAACTAACATGAAATTTGCAAAGTCGGAAACTTAGATATCAATACAAATGCAAATAGAATATGAACTGTTTATTGAGTTTTGAAAACTATTGTACATTAAATTTTCATAAATTTAAAACTCTAAACAGTTAAAGTCGGCTATTTTGTGGGCTGTTTAGAACACGGGTTATTAAAAAATTATCTTCTGCGCATGGTTTCGCGCATGCATGTATGCATGCATAAAGCGAAATTCGTATTACCGCGCATCCTTTTCCGCGTTTTTCTCTGTTTGACAACAACGAAAGACGCACAGCGCGCCTTTCGTAAGTTTGTAATGTGATAACTAACTCAATACTTTGTTCTATTTCTTGAATTTTGATTCTAATGTATACGTATACGTTTTGTCTATAGAAATATATCCATAGTTAATCACGAAGAAAATACAAGTATAGTCCTGATGAGTTCTGCTATATATTTGTGGTGTTTAAATAACTACAAAAGAAGTTCGGAATATCACAGATTTTGTCAAGGAAGTTTATGCCGCTTACTTCGGACTATACATAGAAAAACAAGATAAATCATGGGTGTCATAAGATTTGTTAGTCCTGTGTTGAGTCTTTACGCTTATGGAAGAAAGGAGAACGCAACGGGTTAGATTTCGGCATCCCTATGAACTGGATGGAACAAAAAAAAAATGAGATGAAATAAAAATCATTTCGATGATTGCTACTTTTACGCCGTAGGCGTAAAAGGTATCAATCAATCGAAACAAAACATGGATATATCTAGATTTACAGTCTTCAAGTCCAGTTTTGCTCAGTAAAGACCTTTCTCGACCTATTTATGCTACAAAAATAGTTAAAACGACGTCAGAAAACACCATGTTACCAAACTCCCATCATTCAGTACAATCTACAAGAGAACTTAAATATGTTGGTGGAACATCGGCACCACAGCTGTTTTCCCAAAATGAACTAAGCGATTTTATACGAGATTTAAGTTTATCAAAACAAGAATCGGAACTCTTAGCTTCCAGATTAAAAGAATTCCAGAATAATTTATTGGCACCAATTTAATGATAACAGTATACAGGAAAAAGGAAAGTGAAATACACGAAATACACAACTTAATGAATATGGAGTCAAGACGTAAACTGCATTTTGGGAGCTTGCTTTTCGGTGTCATTAGGACTCAAAACTCTTCGTATTTGTATGACAGGCTTCAATTTTCTAACCGCACAATTAGAACCGCTTTGCGTTTGATTTGCTCGAAATATAACACAGCAGCTTTCCGTGGCAGTTTTCAAAGATCGAAATAGCTGTGTATACTAATATTAATGCTGTGTTTGCGAATTATTATTGTTAATTTTATAATCATAAATATTTAATTGTTGCTATTATTTTATTGAAATTATTAATTTGTCTTCACACATTATTTAATCTTGTTTGATGATTTTAATAATATTAATGTAAAGCTTGTAAATTTATAAACTGCTTCTGTTCTGCGAAAAATAATTACTCTGACCATCAATGGCCGGTTTGTGTTAATTATGGTGAACTTTTTACTTGGTCAGCAAAGTTGATACACCAAATACCCTTGCTTTATTTGTTTATTGGACAGTAGAGTAAAGCAAGTTCACTGGAAACTAAGAACTTGTGAGATGGATAAAAGACGAAAATTTCACAAAAGTTATAAGTGATGCTGAACGTGAAGCATGGGGGGGTTTTGTGTTAGTAGTAAAAAACTTTTTGGGTAACTTTAAACACAGAAATTTTGCAACAGATGTTGGAAAGCTTCAAGGATTTAGGCGCAAATATGAGCATAAAGCTATACTTTCTCCATAGTCACCTGGATAGATTTCCCGACAATCTGAGAGATTACAGTGAAGATCAGGGAGAACGCTTCCACCAAGACCTAAAAGTGATGGAAGAAAGGTATTGGGGTAGATGGGATCGACACATAATGGCAGTTTACTGCTGGTCCTTAAAAAGAGATTGTCCCCAAATTACCTATAGACGTAAAGTTTATAAAAGGCGTTTCTTTGAATTATAATTATAGTTTAAAAGATTTTTCTCTCTTTTCATTTCTACGAAAACATAAAATAGTGACACTTTGGTAATAAATAAATCATATTAAAAAAATATACTAACTGTTTCGTTCTGTGTTTTATAGTCTAACAGGAAAATTAAGATTAAAAAAAAACCAGAACCAATATTCCTAAATCATTCACAGTTTTATTAATTCTATGCATAAAATTATCCAGAACCACTCACATTAAGGACAACAAAACCACATGTAATCCAACTGTAAGTATCTAGTTGTCAATACTGTTAATAGAGGTATATAAAAAAAAATTGTAATGAAAGCGAGTCGGGAGTCTATGCTGAAAATGATATTCGCAATTTAAAATATTTTATTATATTTGATCAATTTTGCATTCACAATGTTTTATTGAAAAATATACTTAATGAAAAATGCTTAAAAAATCCAGTTTGTTCCTGGAACGCTGAGATGGGACTTGAAGCTATTCGTCAGTCCTGTTAGCTACAAGTAAGAGAGTTGAAATCTTAACAGGTTATTTCTGTTGCCGCTAGAACAATAAATACTAAAAAAAATATTTAAGGGGCAAAAAACTACAAACGTGATTTCTTGCTCGTTTTCGGTACAGAATGCTTCATGCGCGAGACTTTATAATCCTGGATCCAGCCGGATAACAATGTAGCAGCCGGATTGGTCGGATACCGGATAGTTGTTAGATATGTCGTAGTAGTCTGCATTGTGATAACTGTTACTGTTAATGAAGGTGACTTCTAAAAAAGTTGAAGACAACAAACATGATAGTAAAAAGTTTTTAAATTTTTATTCGATCAATTAACTTCATAAGTCAAGCGTGCAATAGATTTATAATTTCGATATCTAATGCAAGAAATGTTTATCAGAAGACTGTGCATTTTAATTTGTTTTCTAGGTATGTAAATCATTTGTCTGGTGATGTCAAGGCGAAGTGCATGCATTCATATATTGAACGTCCTCTTTGCTGGAGTTGCTCGCTCGTAGAGTTGTCAGTGACCACCTTTTTTCACAAAGATTTATTATTTAATTTCATGTTTAAATATTAAAAGTGAAAATTTAATTTTTATTTTAAAATAAGTTATTTTAATACCAGTGAACAAACAGTTGATATATTGACAAAATTGGTCATCGGCCTCTGGATATAGAAGATTATTTATTTACTTAGTTTTATGGACAATACATCAACACATACGTTTAAACTTAATTTAAAACAAGAAAAAATGTATTATACAATAACATTTTTGAATTTATAATGTTATTATGATTTTGGCGGCGCCTATAAATTAATTAATAACGTACAGAAAACCTCCGCCCGACTTTAATGGCATTTCTTAAATAAGTCGCTTTTGAGATTAGTATTGTTTTTTTTACTTTTTTTTTAAGTTAGAAGTCGATTCTTTTTTTTAACTTTTTTGTTTACTCACATGAACATTATATTGGGTCTTGCACCTGAACTAGCTTGAATAATATTTTGCCACCAGTAGCAATGTCTTTACAAATCAGTTTAGTATTGTATTTGTTAACAATCTTCTGACTTAAGGCGACCTCTGTTTCGGTTTGATTTAGACAATATAGTATGGTATTTAACAAGGTTAATTTTCTAATTACAGTTGATTATGATTGTTCACCAATAATGCCTAAAGAAGAAGAGACACAAATACCGAAATCAACAAAACCTTTACCATCTTATGCGGTAATGAAATCCACATCGAAACTACCAGAATCAGTGTCGGTCGTTGAGTAAGTATGTAGGTAGGTACAATATGTTCGTATTTAAGGTCAGACGTAAAAACGGACTACGTATAGCTTTGTATGTCCATAAATGTGGCATTTCGATGTTGGCAACCACGACTGGTGACAGCGACTGGCGACCACGACAGGTAATCCACTGGTTAGGTACCATTAATTTATATGGAGCGCGAAACTATGCAAGCTATCGAGTCGCGCGACCTGTGGCGTGGCTAGCAGTCGACCATGGTCACGCGATGCTACTGATAGTGCTCCGGTAGCCGTGGTGCCCCGCGGCCAGAACAAATTTCACATAATTTTTTCTCAGCCACGGATAAATGGTCCGATATTATTGCACTAAGCAGTAAAATTTTCGCCAAAGGACAGGTAACCAAAACCGCAGGTCGTGGTCGCAAAATATCGAAATGGTTCCTTTAAAAGGTATTATGTGAGCGTTAAAAAAAGGCTTTTTTTTAATTCTTTTAATTTTTAAGGGGTTTTTATTCTTTAGAAAATGTCCACCCCATCATGCCATACTTAAATCTAAATTATTTTTTTAATAATATTTCACTAGGGATATTTTTACAGCATTTACTACAGTTTATCTTAAATTTATCAAAATTTACATAATTTTTGTGCAATGATAGACTTAGGGTCTGCTAAAATACTTTGAGTTAATCCAATGTCTAAAACATTTACTTTAAATTGTTTATGACTCCCTCTCATCTTTGTTTCTAGTACACTCTATCAACAAATGTTGTACATCTTCAATTTTGCAGGCGTGACATTTATCTGAGTCAGTCATTTTCTTAATACAAAATGCTTAAAAAATCCACTTGGTACCTGGCACACTGAGATGGGAATCGAACCCACGACCTTTCGCTATCCGGGCGCTCGCTCCAACCGCTGAGCTACGCAGAATCTAACAGGACTGACGAATCCTTCAAGCACCTGTTACTTTTCGCTACTACAGAGCGTCCAGAACTCAGTCTTAAAATCAATTTAATGTAATTTCTACTTTTTTTTAAATATTAACAAACCAGGTTTCACGAGGTGGAACTAAGTTTTTGATCAAAAATGGGTGGGATTGTTTCTAGCTCATTTGAAGATCATTTGTACGATTTTTTTTTTTTTACATTGTAGAGCATTAAAATTGGTAATAAAGAAGAGATATTAATGTAGAGATCAAATAGCGTTTTATATTTTCACCTAGTCAAGTGAATGCTTTGTTAGCGAGCGGGCGCACCCCCATATGGGGCGCTTCTTAAATCATTCTGACTGGCCGCCATTTGTCGAGCTACCAAATTTAACCTTCTGCACACAGCTGCACGTCAAGTTACCACAGTATGTCATATTTTGAACTCTGTTGTCAATGTGTTAAGGGTCAATCGACTGGAGTAGTTATGATAGTTATAAATACCGCCTGCTTAATTATCTGCCAAGTAATAACCAATGCCTTACGATACCTAAAATTGATGTAGAATCTGTAGCAAAGAAACTAAAAAGCATTGATTGCAGGAAAGGTGCCGGTCCTGATGATATACCACCAATTTTCAACTCATCATGCGCATCAGCTCTGGCAGTTCCAATAACTATCATATATAACAAATCGATGAAATCAGGATCTTTTCCAACTATGTGTCAGCAAGCCAGAGTTGTACCCATACATAAATCTGGAAATGACGATCTCGTAAATAATTATCGCCCTATTTCTATTCTTTCCACTTTTGCAAAAATATTCGAATCGTTACTTGGTCCTTATATTCACCAGCATCTCAAACTCTATAGTAGTGATTAGCAGCATGGTTTTGTTGAGTGCCGATCTACGGCAACCAATCTTTTAAATTTTACAGAATCTTTGATACGGGCGGTAGACTCCAGCAAGCAGTATGTCGTCATTTATACAGACTTCACAAAAGCTTTCGATGAGATTTCGCACAGTTTATCTATCCATAAATTGTCTGCATACGGTATCAAATGACTCTCTGCTCTCATGATTCAGTTCTTACTTGAACAATCGCTCTTTTAGGGTTGTCGTAAACGGTTCTCAATCTACTAGCCATGTTATTAATTCTGGTGTTCCTCAGGGGTCACATTTGTGCCCTATTTTATTTATTATTTTTATAAATGATGCCGCTAAAAACTTTAACTTTTCGGAGGTCTTCGTGTATGCGGATAGTACAAAATTTGTACGAGAGATATGGGTGTTCTGTTCGATAAAAAAGTGACCTTTATACCTCAAATAGATAACATAGTCTGCAAAGCATCCAGGGCATTAGGATTTGTTATAAGGAATACCAAAGATTTCCATAATGCTGCTGCTAAAATCTTAATTTACTATAGTCTAGTGAGAACTATATTGAAATATTACAGTGTGATGTGGAAACCACATTACGCCACACACTTTGCGCTTAGAGCGTATATAGAAACGTTTCCTTTGGCACCTCTCTTTCTCGATGCATAAGACAAAACAGCTATGATCTTATAATTCTAGATTGCAATTCTTCAGAATGGAATCCCTAGCATTACGCAGAGATCTCTTGGACATGCTTTCTCTGTACAAACTAATAAGAGGTAAAATAGAAAATTCCAGTTTACTTCTTAATACGAGTACTATATCACTATTATATATAGGTACTACTTATCTATATGAGAACTGCCTACAAGAACATTACTTCTATTATAATATCTGTGGTTATCACATTCATAGATGAGGCAACCCATAAAAATGATACTACCCTACCCCCCCATAAATACCATTGCAGAGCGCAGTCCGTTCTACATCTCATTCTTCGCGGGTTCGTCGTGGTCAAAGTAACCCTGTCACTCTGACTTTTATTAAATTGAATTATAGATTAGTCATTTGGAGTAATTGATGTTCTAATTCTTCGTATATTTGTGATCTAAGATGACATTATAATTAATATCAATCGTTAATATAAAATATATAACCATAACTAAATTTAAATTAAAAAGCTACTCTGATATTTCATAGTTAGCATAATAAATTTATGTTACAGAAGACCAATTATAAACAGAAAACAGATGGCCAAAGCAGACAAAGATCTTGAAAAAGTGTTAGATAACACTAAAAAGAAAAAGGTGATTATACTAGAATCAATTCATGAACCCTACTGGGCTGGTGGCGAATGGGTATATGAAAGGTAAGTGTCCAAGTAAAAACTATTTAATTTAATTAACTGTTATTTCCCATTGATTTTAAGAAAGTATACAAAAAAAACTAGATATAGGTATAAAATACTTTGATAAAAACCCATATCTTTTTTCTTGGGGTTTCGTAGTAAACAAGGAACCCTTATCGTTTCGCTATGTCCGTCTGCCCGTCCGAGGTTAAGGTCAAAAACTAATGGCAGGTAGTATAAAGTTGTAATTTGGCATGAGTGTACACATTAATTACGCCGAAGTGATAAAGTAAAATATCGAAAAAAAAATGTATATTTTTAGGGTACCTCCCGTACATGTAGTCTTCCCCAAAGTATGACACGAAAATTTGCTCTTTAGCTAATTTTCGTTAGAGTCAAGTACCCCCTTTACCAAATAAACGGGTGTTGACAAAAATTCTAACGTTACAGCAGTAGTACCTATATACTATAGTCTGGTCATAAATACTGTTAGAATTAAAAATAAAATATTTCTTTTACATATTTTCACGCCATTACATTCTACCTATATTTAAAATAGAGTGGGGCGATAAAGAGAATCGCATCGCTATTATTGCATTACATAAGTTGGTATGGAGCCAAACACAATTTTCCAAATCCTCCATACGCTTGGTATTAGTCAGATGTTTGTATATCGGGCTATTGATAGGTACAATGAAACCTCCTCTGGACATCCGCGTAGAGTTGGTACGAAAAAGACGATCAAGCAGTAAGGGAATGAATTAGAAGAAATCCTGTTCGAAAGCAAAAGATTTCATCTCGGGAAACGAAGATAGCGCCTAGAACCATGTCGTGTATTTTAAAAGATGACTTTGGACTTGCAGCCTATAAGAGACGCACTAGTCACTTCTCAACAGACAATTTAAAAAAGAGTAGCGTGGTAAAATCAAAACAACTACTTAAGTAGTACACAAAGGGAGGTCACAGAAAATTTTTTGTTTACGTATTTATACTCGAAGCTCTAAAGAAAATTCACGATTAATCAACAGAGTACGACGTGGACATTATCTGACTTCTGTGATGGTTTGGTGGGGTGTTAGCAATGAAGGAGTGACCATGAGTCATTTTTTTGTGAGAAAGTATCAAAACATCGGCACAAGTATATTAAGATACTATTCTCGCGAGGGTAGTTAATCCCTCAACAACAAATTACGTTCAATAAAAAAAACTATCTAACAATATTTATGACAAGACTATGTATAACGAAGTTAAAAGGAAAATTATCACATTTAAGTTGGCTTATGAAGTTCATGAGTAATAATCGACCAATTATATTTAACCCGAAAATTTCGAACTACTCCATAGAAAACAGCAAACCTGTTTTTGTTATTTTTTTTAATGGATAATGGTACGGAACCACTCATGGAACATTTCCATTTTTACCCGACTACGGCGAAGTGAAAAGGAGGGTTATAATTTTGGCCGGTATGTATGTATATCTGTTCCCTTATTACTTCGAAACTACTCATCGTAACTGGACAAATAAGGTATCATTAGAAGCGTCATAGTTATCCGTGTGCTATGAGATATGTGATGTTACATTAAATGGCAACGGCGCCCTCTAGAGAGCATAAAAAAAGAAACTAAAAAAAATATTCAATCGTTGCGTGTAGGGTATCAAATAAAAGGGCTTAATTAGCAAATTACAAATATATATTGCTTGCTATTTTGCCTAAATACATCCAAAAATTAATTAATTAAAATAAGTTTACAAACTAAAACCCGATAGCTAAATTACGCTCTAAAAAGTTTGAAATAAGAAATTTATTTTAAAACGATAGCTATACTTATTATATTAGCGATCAGCGGCAAAAATATGTTCTATAAGGAAAAATACAAACTAATAATAAAAATTATAAAACACGAATGGCAAAATCGAACTAATAATAACAGAAGCAAGTGGTATTATGGCTTGGCCAACCAAATTTCTCATTGCAGTCGGGCTTAGAGAATTACTCAAATACATATTACATAACGCATTTTGGGGGAGGAGGGGTTTGTACAACGCGTTACGCGACGTCCTCTTACTTTATCAATCAAGCCACAATCAAGCTAGGTTTCACTAGTATAATTTTCTTTGTATGTTCCATTTTAAATAAGACTACTAACTAATCCACTCAATATTGAATAATAGGTAGAAATACGCCGCATTTTTGTACAATAATGTTTTTTCTAACTATGGTTGTAGTTTTACGTACAGGGGCGCGACCGCCTAACTCATGGACGTAGTCGTAGTCGTAGCTATAACCTACGCTTTATCGATATTTCTTATGAATCTGTTTATATTCTTATAAAATTAATAAAATTAGTTGTAGATATAAATGTTAATATAAATGTTAATATAAAAGATAAGAACATGGGCCTTGTGGATACCACAGTATTTTTAGGAATAACATTAGATTCTAAACTACAGTGGGGCCCACATATTGATAGATTGTCGAGTAGACTTAGCTCTGCAGTATATGCCGTAATGAAGATACGTAGGTTAACTGACATAGATACTGCCAGATTAGTATACTTCAGTTACTTTCATAGTGTTATGTCGTACGGTATCCTATTGTGGGGAAATGCTGCCGACATACAAACAATTTTTGTGCTTCAGAAAAGAGCAATTCGATCAATTTATAATCTTAGGATTAGGGACTCTTTAAGGGAGAAATTTAAGGAAATAGACATTATGACTGTTGCTTCTCAATACATATACGAGTACTTAATGTACGTTCGTAAAAATATTAGTTTGTTTTCTATAAAAAGTGATGTACACAATTTTAATACAAGAAATAAAAATGAATTAACGGTGCCTGTCACGAGACTGCAAAAAGTTAATAACTCATTCAAGGGTCTTTGTGTGCGCTTCTACAATAAGGTCCCAAGCAAATTACAACAATTAGATATCATGCAGTTTAAATCTACTATTAAAAAAATACTTAGTAAAAAAGCTTATTATAAGGTATCCGATTATATAACAGATAAGAACGCTTGGACTTGAGATGATCCAGCAACTGGATAGGTGATTACTTCTAAACTCATTATCTTGTTTCCATTATTATTAAATGATTATGTTATTATTATAAGACCATAGTTTTTTTTTTATCTCTGTTTATAATGTATTGATCTGGTAATGACATGATTTTTGTAAATGTCATTACTCTTATTAGAGCTGGTGAGTTTCTTGCTCGTTCTTCTTATCAGCCAAAAGACGTCCTGAACGAGTGGTAGGGAAAAAATGTTGGACGATTCAAAAGTACTTTTAAGAAGTCTATTTGAATAAAGATTATTTTGACTTTGACTTTTGACTTTTTTTTATTTATATACCTATTTTATCAAACGTTTTGGTTTGTTTTTCTTTTCGAAATAGAATGGTTTGTATCAATTCGACATTTTGTAAATTTTGTTTAACTTTAATATTTCAGAAACAAAAACAACTAAAAGCATTGATTTAATATGTAAATAATAAAAAATGATAAATTTTAAAACAATATCAACAGATTCATGTGTAAAACCTATAAAGCGTAGGTTATAGCTACGACTACGGCTACGTCCATGAGTTAGGGGGTCGCACCCCTGTTTACAAAGTAACGTAGATATATATTGTTTCAGATACTTTATATCTTTTTCTTTTAAAGGAACCTTGCCTTATAAAACATTATGAATACATTTACATATGCAATTTAAGATCTTTCAAATAGGGAATTAAGATCTCTCAAAGTTGGCAATGAACATTGCTATAGTTAGTATAATGAAAGTGAGTTCATAGCTCGCCTATAAAAACTTTCCACTGCTAGCAAACCAATAGGTTTTGTCACCTGAATGATACACGAAACGTTTATGAAGGGAGTCAGAAAAACGTTACGGCACGTTACACGGGGGAGGAAAAAATCTCCGAAAATTGTGTTACGTAATTCTTGCACTACCCCTAAGCAAACTGTGGGCCATTTGTGATCTAAACGATCTTCCAACTGAGACTTTTGTTTAGCCAATACATAATACAAGTACAACTTGATTCTTTTATTTTTAAATCAATTTTGGAAGTCGTGTATTTTTTTTTAATTTTTTTTTTTTAATCGGGATATCTAGCCTGATGTACTTCGTTTCACCTCTCACCGTTTGAACCTTCCCTAGACTACGTCAAATATTTCAAAACAAAATTTGCTAAAGCCGTTCTCGAGTTTTAGCAAAACAAAAGAACAGCAATTGATTTATATTATACTAGTCATAAAATCTTTCATCCATTATTATATTTTTTTCTCATAATGCATACCTACTATACCTATTTTACACAGAACTATCCGACCATACAAAAGATTAAGGACAACACCAACTTTACCACCACCATCAACAACAACAAATGATGAAGTTGAAGAAACAACAACTGCTGCGCCGACTGATTCTACTCCTTTGACTAATGCAACCACCGGTAACTATTTCTTTTCTCTGGCGTATTGTCATAGCCGTATCCAAGATATTTTCCAGATGGGCAATGCTAGCCTATTGTTATACGGGATGGGCTCGGCGACATAAAGCGTCCTGTACAACAAAACGCAGTACTTCACTGATACGATACATACTTTTATGGACGCGATACGTGTCGTTTTCTTTCAATGCTTAAATATAAACTTTGGTTTCTATGTTTCTTCGCTTGTCATACGAATAGAATATAGGTAAAGCATATCGGTTTCCAATGACCTTGAAGATATGCTCACTAAACTAGACTCTAAAATTACCTGCACAGAGTATGTTTCCCAAGCGTTACTGTTGTGGGGGTGGTTTCGCAGAGAAATTGTAGCGTTTTAGATTTTTCTTTCTTATTTAAAAGAACATAATCTTGAACCGCGTGACTGAAGGCAGTGGGTAGCTAACACCGCCTTACGAATGAGGGGTCTGGACTCCTTCCTTGGTAAAGGTGACTTGAAACCAAGGAAGGAGGGGTGGTTCCATAGAGAAACAGAGAAGATGACAATAAAGGAAATAGCAGGCAATAATGTGTTAGTTCAATAATATTTCGAGAAAAGGTGCAGATCAGAGACAGATCATAAATCTGTGAGTAATTTTTATTAAGTACTTAATTAACATTAGATTATTTCATCAGCTCCATACATCAACTATCAATGTCAACAACCTTGCTCCAATGTCTTCGAGAAGTGAGTTTTATTTTAATAAGCTTGATTTTAGTCATATTCTACCTTTTCTTTTATCTACTACTACTAATTAAGCGTCCACTGAAGGCGCTCCGAATCGAGTCCAAAGCTGCCACAGCAGATTTGGCCCGAGACTCCGAGGCAAGTCTTTAATACCTACCTGACCTAGGCAAAATTTTGGAATCCGTTATAAAAAGTATTATTTTTAAGCCTTAATTTGAAATTAGCTTTGGCCAACGGCTATATATACATATAGCTTAACCTTCCTCTTGCATCATTCTTATCTGTGATTCCATAAAAATTCGAACCCCAATTCTAATTCACTCATGTGTCCGAATTCACGTCATTTAGTGTATAAATTCTATAAATTACATTTTTTGTATAAAAATAAAAAACAATATTGATTGATCTCAGGTATTCATTCACTATGCCATTTCGAAACTCACTTCACTTATGCCACGAAACGTTATTAGCAATTCAAGGTTGAACGGATGTCGTTTTTGAAGAGGATTCGGGGACACCTGAGTGTAGTTTAATTCGGGTTCAGATTTTTACAGAACAAAATACAGAAAACGGCAGGGCTAATAAGATAAGACAACGCGAAGCGATTTCGTCTTAACCATGTATAGATTATCCATCAATACCATAGTCGTGTATGCAACTAAATATTATTTAAATACTTTTAGTATATAGTAAATATAATATTCTATGCTTTCAGCTACGGTCGAGTATGCGCTCAAAGATACAACGGCATAAAATATGAGTACAAAGAATTTGAAGATATATGTGATATGATAGACAATAATTGCATGCACCATGGCACTCGTAAGTGCACATTTTTTATGAATCTAGCTTTTTGGAACAGAACAGCAAATATCTAGTTTAATTTCTAATATAAACCCTAATTCAACATTCCGTTTTTCATTTTCAGCACGAAGTAAGTTATAAAATTATTTTTACCTGAACGATACATACGCCAAGTTCCCTTGATCAAAACGTAAATTGGAGTTGGACACCCCGTAGACAAATAAGAAGGTACTGAAAAAGAAACTCTAAAATATAGGGGCTTGGGAAGAAAGTTTTTTTTTGTTTAGTGAATTGTTCCTGCCTAATTAAGTTTTAAATTGTCAATTTTCGTAAGTCTAGTAATACCCCTCTATCAACAAATGGTTGTTTCATAAGTCTAGTAATAGAATTTTCGTAAGTCTAGTAATACTCCTAAATAAACGGTCATTGTTAGAAATAGGGAATGCCATCTCGCGAGATTGGGACTCGGGCGAGTTCTCGCGAGATTGGCATTTTTGTGTGTTTACTGTTATATTTATTTAAATTACAATATTTGAATAAATTTGGAAAAAAATATAGGAATTTAGGCATTATGAAATAAATATTTATTTTTACGGGTTGACTTAATATACAGTACCTGTAAAAATAAATACACAGTTTTTATTTAACATTGTCTGACGCAATTATTTTTTTTATCTCACATCTTTAAGAGAGCAATTATTGTACTATAATCTCGGAAACGGCTCCAAGAATTTTTGTGACTTTAAATATGTAGGGGCTTTCAGAAGCGATAAATACAAAAACTAAAATAAAACACATTAACTAAGTTGAATTGACTATTAAACTGAAATAATTATCAATGAAAGAAAACTATGTGCATCCTATCTATTAGATATTAGAGAATAAATTGACATACTATACCAATAAATTTAAAGGCTTATTCAGTTCACTTCACACGTCAATATTACGAATAACTTTGAAAGTAGGTACTTAAGAAGCACAAAATGTCCAAAGAATCTTTGCTATTCGTCTTATTATTGTGCTGGCCAGATAACCATCCACTGACAAGACCCTTTCCAAAACACAAGTACTGTTAAAAGTGTAAAACTTCGCCTTTTAACACTCCGGACTCGCATAAATTCGCGCTGCCGCACTTGGAATAAATCATTTTATGCTAAGTGCAATCTCGTTATACTCGCAATATTTCGCCCATTTTTCGACCGAGATCAATCTCGCTAAAAAAGGCCGAGATCTCGCGAGAACGAGATTGCATTCCCTAGTTAGAAATTCAAAGTATAATATATTTTTTTCACTAAATTCTATTTGATGTATTTTTAAGACGTTTTTTATTTACCAAACTATTTACGAAAGTCTAATTTAAACGTACATTGTAAGATGTCAATCAAATAAACATAGATCAGTGAGTGAAATTAATAAAAATCTTTGAAAGTAAAGAACCTAATTCAAATATGCCGCTCAGGGCCGGACTAGGGTAGAGGGGTTAAGTAGGGGGGGCGCTAAAATCATAATTATAATTATATCAAAATCAAAAATATATGTGTAAAACAAAACGCAGTACTCCGCAGAAACGATATAGTGATTTAATCAAAAGCAAATTAAATTAATCAATGGTAAGTTACTAGATATTTGGTTTAGGTTTCCTTTGAAATGCGTTTGTTTGTTGCAGTTGTAACTAAACAAGATCCAGAGAACTACAGGGGACCCTGGTACGTGATAATACGGGGTCCTTGCTATTTGTTATATACACCATTTCCTCAGCCCCAGACTAATGGCACCAAGTTACTACAAAGAGTGGAACAATACATGACTATCGACTTCGAACTTTATAGAACTAGAGGGTTTGAATAAAGCCATCTATTACAGAATACCATTCGATTTATTTCAGTTACCTTTATTTATACAAGAAAAAAAAATCCGCCAATATGCTTTAATTACAAAATTTATTAAATATAAATAAATGAATTAATTAAATATATTAATAAATGGACTTTGATAGATGTTGATGACATTTAATCATATATACAGGTAAATAATTAAAGGGGTTTGGTATACTAGAGCCTATTCTATTTCTCTATATGCTACATATTATTCATCTGTGTATTCGACAACCCATCATGATAGTACCTAGATTGAACATTTCGGGATTTAGAAATTTTGGGAACTGGTTGTCCCGGAACTTAGGATATTCTGAACTGAAAGACTATAAACCTCAAATAGTTCTACTATACTCTCTTATCGCACTACTACTATCTTCTCTGTCTTTCTCTCTATCTGCTCTATATTACCTCTATGGCTGATATCCCAAAGTAAAAAAAAAAGAATTTCCAAAAAAATACGGTTTTTATTACGTTTAAACAATAAGGTAACTACATCTCTAACATAGATACAAAATAACACAATACAACATTAATTATGCACGTATATTTTTTTACAACCAAACAACTATATAGTTTGTGTAAAAGTATTTAGTAATTATTAAAATGCAATATAATAATAATAATAAAAATGGCAGTAACGTTCATATTATGTTGGTTCATAAGCTAACAAGACTGCATGATTTCAAATTCGTTGTTAAAATATTAACAACCTGCAGGTTATATACACTCCTATAAAACGGATTGGATCGATACGCCGGAAATATCACAGTATTTTTTTAAAAAGATCATCAATCATGAATTTTTAAAAATATTTGTAGATGAGCCACTCATTTTTATCCAAAAAGAAAATGTTGTTCTAGTGTTTACCGGATTATAATAAGAAAAAATAACTCTTGTTTATCCCAATAAAATAAGCTATTTTTTTTCACGCTTCTGAACGCCTTTGTTTAAACCGGTAAGTCAACATGACAAAACTTTTAGAAAAAAATCTCTCCTTTTTATTCTAAAAGAGAAATTTTGTTGTTTTCTTAAGATAAAAACGAGTCACTTTTTTTATAGTGAAAAAGAAACTTTATTACTTTTTACGGCTCTGAGTGGTAAGTGTAAGTTTTACGCTAACGTTAAGAATTTCTATGGAGATTTGTAGTTCTTGGTAGCTACCGCTAGGGGCGCTGTACCGGATTCCATACTAAAATATAACGCGCTCACGATCGACAGTGAACGTAAACGTCAAAAAAACTTACACTAAGCGTTCTGGGGGCCAATTCTACTAAATAAATTTTGTTTAAATCGAATCGAAAACGGATCGAAACCCAACGAAAATACAGTTTTTAATGGTTTTTTTTTTTTGGTATTCTACTAAGTGACATATGATACAATTCCAGCTAAAATAGAACTACTAGTAGAATTGACCTCCAGATCGCTTTTGCTGTCAAACTTGTTTCCTCAATCGCGCGTATAAAGAATTCGTGAGTGAAGTGGAGATTCGTATGATAGGTAAATCTCGAATAAATACTTTTTAAAAGGACACTTGGCTATTATACATTTTATTCAATATAGCAGTTTTTAAACATACATCTTTTTCGTTATTTAACAAAAACTCGACAACTTTAACTCATTAGATAAATTAGGTGTACCTATTAATTTTGATTTTTATAAATCACAGCCAAATTTCAACCTACTTTCAGTTACACTCGGAAAATATTATAAACAGTAAATAACAGAATAAGAACAAATATCAAGAAAAAACACTAAAGATAACTACATTTTAAACTTCGCTTATAGATTTCATAAATTATATGGAACATTACATATTTAAAAATATTTAATATCATCGAAATAGTTTGAAATAAATTGAAGAGGACATTTGAAACTTCCAGCAACACAACAATAGATTTGTTTATCCTATTGTTTTTCATATAGGTTTTTTTTAATCAGTGCACAAATGTTTTTATTATTTATGTTAATTGTAAAGCATACACACGTTTTTTTCCTTCTTTATAATCTAGGCAAAAAGAGGAGTGTTATACATTTGACCTGTCTGTCTGTGGTAACGTAGCTTCTGAATGAATGAACCGATTTCAGTGGAATTTATTTAATCAAAAGCCTTATTCATCGAGGTGATTCTTAGTTATGTTTTATGAAAATCGGATTAGCGGTTCGAGCCTTGAGCACTTTATCAAAACACGAGATAACTATTTTCTATTATATTTATAATTATTTGTACTTACAGCTTCACAGCTTGTAAACGAATGGGTCGATTTGATTAAAGTTTTTTCATCTTTAGTCTCTTTCGTCAAGATCATTTTGTTATATATATGTGTTTTAACGTTATACTTCTAGATAAAAAATACGAAAGTTTAAATAAAAATATAGCTACATATGATCACGCCAGAATTTGAGAACGGTTCAAAACACCGATAATAATAATCTCAATTATATAAAATAGGAATATTACATTTATAGCTTATTCACAAATAAATAAGATTATTACCAGCTTTTAGAAAAAAAAAATTGTATCGCAAGCATTATAACAAGTTGTAGTAAGATATTTCATTACAAGCGAAAATATAGGACCAGCTTCGTACGCCTTTTCAATTACGAATATTTATTATTAACAAAAAAGGGGCAAGAGTGAAAATATATATAAGTGATCCATGGGCGGAGTATCCAAAATCTGTAAACGAAATTAACCGGTAATTAACGCAGAAACCGGTTTATTTTAATCAAACATTTAGTGTCTGAATAATCGAAAACCAAATGAAAACAATCTCAAAAAATGCATGGAGTTTTTTAAGAGCTAGTTAATGAAATTAACCAGATTTCGGATCCCTAGATCAACCCACTATAATGCTGTTCTGTTAAAACAGCGTCGTGTTCAGCTCTGTCACGGCATTAGAGGTTGAATCGAATAAAAACTACTTCAAAAGGTAATAAAGGTCTTCTTTGATTGAACTTTTTTTTATATGACTCTATGTGTAGACTTTTTTTTCTCTGGTAATATATATTGTATTTATTACTGGCAAATATTGTGCACTGTTCAAAAAATTTACCCTGTGTGTACCCATAGAACTTTAATTCTAGATCACATTACATACGAAGTTAATTTAATAAAGAAAATTGACATTTAATCTAGAATACAAAGGGATTGGAATATCTTAGCACAGAGCCCTCCTGTCCTTCTAATCTATATTTTTTTAAATTACATTTTAATTTTACATTGTTTTACCAAATGTACTTTTTGAGCAAGTTTTAATATTACATATTGATATTTTCACATTTATTTATATTCATAATTGATCAAAGATTTTGTATAAACAGAAACATAAATGATAGATTGTTTAAAACCAAGAGATTAATTAGAAAATATTTTACGAATGCTGTTAGACCTTATGACTGATGTGTATATGATACTGTTACTTATATTATTGATTATAATGAAAATAGAGTTTCGTTTTCCCTAATTTAGGTGAGCCGTACTTCAATTAATCACAGTAGTGAAAGTGTCATAAAATATTTGCAAGTAACTTAAAGAGTTCTATAAATCGCTATTTAGATTTTTATAAAATCGGCAACAAAGTTGGGCAGCGAAAATATTCAAAACCCTTTATATGATATTAAAAAAGCGCTATCTAGTGAATTACTTATAAAAACATAATGTAATTCACGCTATGTCTTGGTAACATAGCATAGGAGACATTTATATTAGAAATTCATATTTCTTACCGAGTCTTAAGGACACTACTTTTCTCTACTTATATATAACACTTCTAGTAAATGTATAGTATTAATCTAAATATAAATAAGACATCCTTAAATGGTGTTTAATGATTTATTATTTATTTGTCATAGGTCTATTTAAAATGACTTAAATTTTGTATTCATTTTTTTTTATTAAAATCGCTGGCATATCATCGCTGTGTCATTACCAGTGGTCGGAATTAGGTAGAGTTATTCATGTACTTACACTGATTTCATACAGCGAAAGAATAAAGTGGATATGCCTCAAATCCCGAGATTAAATTTTAAAGAGCAGAAAAAATCCCGAGATTTTTTAAATAAAAAGTTATTTACTTTTACACAATTTAAACTACTGCACGCACAACGTTGCCAAACTTTCATCAATGACATCGGATGTCCAAAGTTGCAAAATATCAATACGCGCGATGTTGCCACATTTGTAGGGAAGGAACATTAATATCAACATTTCGATGCAAGTACATAAATAACTCTACCTAATTCCGACCTCTGGTGATTACATAAAAAAAACCGATGTAATAAATCAAAATTATTAGAATATCTATTGCAATATCGTTAATTCGAAAATGGTAGGTTTAATTCATACAATGACGATAGGAATATTTATCAATTTGAATAATTTCATATAGTTCATTATAAAAATTCAGACTTATTGTAAATATTATTAATAGAGAGATAAAAATATATACCACCACATTTTAAAGACGTGGATTTTAATATAAACGGGTACAGTTTAAATATTTTCATATTTATTTATATATCGAATAAATACTATATGCATATAGTAATTGCAGTAAGTAGATTTTTTTTATCAATTAAACTGATTAAAGTAAAATGGACATGCCCGGTATAGGTTATAGCATTAGCATTGATAACAACATTCTTCATTTACTGATGCTGAACTGAATAATTTAACAAAGTTCTAGATACTATAGAGCCGGAGTTCCAGAACCGTATCCATGTTAATATTACCATTACCTTTTTGTATCTATGTCAATATGTTGTCAGAGGCCCTGGAACGGGTCCTGTAGAGATTTTTTTACTTTGACCGCATTTTTAGTCAAGGCAAATTGTCTATGGTCTGAGGGAAGATATCATTATACAATTTTTTGCTAACTCAAATAAGTTGCATCATTGAGAGATTACTTTAAAATCGCTCGCGACATATCTGAAACTCAATTACGACTTCGATTTTTATGAATTTGAACATGGCAGTATTTTAATGAACCAACAGACAATTCAGTATTTCATTTTAAATAGGCAATAAAATAAATTTCATCATTCTTGTTTTTTTTACTTTCTATTATAATTATTACAAGAAAGCCTCTTATCGTTTATTTTACAATATACTTACGCTAATATGTAATTACACATTTTAAACGTAATAGACAAAATTTACAACAGAATGTGATCATAAGGAACACTTTTTTATAAATTCTAATTATAAAATAAAACTATTAAAAACTTATAACGTTCTTAAATTACATTTTAATATAATTAATAATTAAAAGTAAATAATTACAACAAAATATAAATACGATTTTTGTACAATTGAATATTTTCGGACGAATTTTACTATTACAATTTCGAAATAGCAATGCATACGCGAATTAAAACTTTATGTACATTAATGTAAAAGCCAAATTCGCACGCGCGTTATAACGCACCCAAAGTGCTACCGTTCACCGTCAAATGAGATTCCACATCTATAAACAAAACGCAACACTTTCTTTTCAGATCTTGTTATAGTTTTTCAATATTTGTAAGAAAATTCAATGATTTTTTATAATTATGCCTGGGAGGCATCATTCAAAACTCTTTACTAACATACGAATCGATAACGAGATTTGTATGAGTGTTGCCAAATTAGGATTATTTTTTTTTGCAAAATTTTAGAATAAACTTTGTGTGTGACAGTTTTAGGAAAGTAAAAAAGTTCAGGCTAAAGTAACTAATTTCATATGAATAAAGTATCATATTGAGGGTACACAAAAACCCCATTTCGAAGAATAAACTCATACTAGATTACCTGTAACGTTTCTAATGACACGACATTTTGTACTTACTCCAGTAACAGGTGGAGATTTTTGACAATTCATTATATTATAGATATTCAAATAGATATTAATTGTATACAGACAAACATAGTTCAACACTTGGAGTAGATGGAAAGATGAACTGGATGAGCTCGAATTTGCTGCCACATACTTGGACAAGCGGTGTGCTGATGATGACGAAATATGTAGAGATTCAATCCATCGGGACCGGTTCATAGTCCATATCGCCGCAGTATTCAGCCAAAAAGTCCAAGAATAATGTAAACTTACCGGTCGAAGACCTTGACCATCGTGAAGACACTGATTTCATACAATTCGATAGGTTTTCGAGTATGTTCTGTAAAAGAAAAAATATATATTCTACCTGTTTTAAGCGACAAGAGAACTTGTGTTACTTTTAAAGCACTTTTACGCAAGGTAACTGTTGAGATATGAATATATAAAATATGCATTTGTAGCATTTTTAATATTATAATAAATAAATATCGGACAACATCACACACATTGATCCGATTCCGAGGTAAGTAGCTTAGGCACTTTTGTTACGGATATCAGAAACAAGGGGGGAATACAAATATATACATAATATAATTAGAAAACACCCAGACACAGAACAGAAATAATTGTTAATCACAAAAATGTTTGCCCTGGGTGGGGATCGAACCCACGACTCTCGGCGCAATAGTAGGAACGCTACCACCGCGCCATTTAGCTTAAATTGTTGACTTATTCAATACTGGCTTTCCGCCAGCGGCTTCGCCCGCGTGATCCCTAGGGAACTGCTTATTTGGGTATCGATTGCTGTTATCATAGCATAGTTTTTCATACATATATTTTTGGTATGTTGAACCGTTTTCGCAGCGTATAGACCATTTTCCTCAATAAATGGTCTATTCAACACAAAGAATTTTTCAATTCAAACCAGTAGTTCCTGAGATTAGCGCGTTCAAACAAACAAACAAACTCTTCAGCTTTATAATATTAGTATAGATAAGACAGCCGAAGTGCATTTCTATAACTGTAAAGCTATGATATCTAGCAACTTTCATACCCTGACATTACTCAGTATCTTACTGACTCTTGGAGAGGCAAAACACGCGCAGAGTGGTAATTGTTGAGAGAACTTTAAAATTTGTACACTAGGGATATGAAAAGGTTCGTCAAATTTCAAACCAATTCCTTTGAAGTCGGGAGCAATTATTACCTTATGAAACTAAGTAAAAAAATACAATACTGCATAGAAAACTATGCTTAACACTCTAATGATAAGGTTTTTTTGTCATTGTTTTAGCAGTACAAAATACTGTTTTGATATAAAACTTATTGATTTTATTAAAAAAATAAATTTAAAATAGATGATGGCAGATAAATAATTTTTTGATTGAATTACATCTGTTACTACTGACATAATGTTGACATTTAATAAAATTGTAAATCATTTAATAATCTTTTTGGTGAAATTGGTACTAATTACTGAGCTGTTGTTGATTGAGAAGGTAAGCAAAATCCGACTATGCTTACAAACATTTTCTTTCGCTCACTGTATACATATAAATTGGTGTACGGTTTGTACACAGACAAAGCAGAGGTCTTGCAGATACTGACTGGGTATGAAGTTGTTAGATATCATAGTTTCACGGTTATTGTCACTTTATATTTCACAAATTAGAGTAATATATTATACATATATTTTTTCAATATAAAAAACCAGTTATCCATACATTTATAACTACAGCAGGAAGTTCATATTCTTACCTGTGGCCAATCTTGTCTATAAACAGCTAAGCACTGTTCCGTCAATGAATCTTCACTCAAATAATCATTCTTCAGTAAGAATACTAAAACAATAGCCAGAGCTTCCCAAACTTCACTCTGCTTACTCTTAGTAGAACTGAGCAATACAATGTTTCTCGGACACAACACCCTATCGAAGAACTCCAAATACTCATCACTGTGTTCCTCAGCGTTGGTGACGTTTTTGTCAGTATTCACACTTTCAACACTCTTATCACTCGCAACACTTTTGTCTATGGCAATTTTGAAATTGGTCACTACTCTAATTTTCACGACTTTGGAACCGTCCTCATCGTCTGAAACAGGTGTAGGAAAACGTTCGTCTTCTTCAAAATTCCGGAACTCCGGCGACAGTTCCGGCCTACGCTCCGGTAGCAAGATCTCCTCCGGTTCGTTACGTTTTCTATCAGGGCAACACGTGTTCCATATTGCTTGGAGGGTGTTCAAGAAATCTTCGGTCACCTCTCGAGGTTTTCTGCTTACTGTTGAATAATAAATAGAAGATTGGTCTCGACTTTAGAATTAAAAACTTGCGGTATCATAATTTTCAATTAAAAGTTAAGATCATTAAATTCGAATTCGAATGAAGTTTAATTAGTCATAAGATAGACTTGCCAGATTTTCAATCATAGATTTATTTATAGGCGCCATAGAAATAATAATACGTGCGCGTACTATGTTCATGAAATCATTATAAAGAGTCACATCAGCACAGTTTTCGTTAAAATTCTAACTATAAATTTAATATCAAATAAATCAGCACAGCACATCCATTTTTTCATGAACCTCCTTTTTGAAGTGTGTTAAAAAACACTTTTGTATTATCAAAAAAAAAACTTTTTTTTTTTTGTTATTGCATTACGTTTTATATCTACTTACCATATACAATACACAAGTCGACGCTTAATTGTAATATGACTCTCTGCGTTGGCGGTCTGCTAAACAGGTTGTTTGGTGAACAACACAAAGCGCACGACGCTAACGTGGGAATGAGTTCAGAAGGCTCTTCATCGTCAAGAAGTAGGCAAATTTGTTCCTATAAAAGATAACATAAATCTTTACAGCAAACAAAACTAACATGACTCATAGACATAGCAGCACATGTGTACATAGACATAGCAGCACATCAAGTTACCACCATATGTCAAATTGATAATTGATTGATTTACCAGATGATTTTCAACTCTAAATTAAATGCATTAAGGTACAAATTCAAGTGATGAAATTTAACAACATTTGTTTAAGTTGAAAACTATACAGTAGGAATATATCTCATAATCAGTAAATCAATTAAATCTTCTCGATAAAGCTACTAAGTAATAAGTAGAAAATCTTCATTCATTGCTGGGCCAAAAACCATCGACTATGTGATATCTCGAGGTGTGACATTATGTTTCAATATATACAGTAAAACAAAGCTATTACTGTAACTTTATTTTAGTTTTTTTTTAATACGACGGCACTTTGCGCGTATGTCCCAAGTGCGAAGTACGAAGGGTTTCGTATCTAAGAAAATCACGTTTATTAAATGAGAGCCCCCTTAAATATTCGATACGATTTTTTTATATTAGTTATTATAACGGCAACAGAAATATATACTCTGTGAAAATTTCAACTACCTGTCATGGGTCATGAAATACTACTGTATTACTACTGTACTGCAAAAACGTATCTTTCTAATAATTGGATCATCTGAATCAATGCAGAGATTCGAATCAATTAATGCTTCATTTGGATCATCGACTCTCAGATGGAGTCAAGAGCAGAGAGCAAGTACTTATTGTAGCGAATATAATTAAAAATGACCTAACGCTTTTCATTGACATTTAATATGGAATGATTGTTTTAAAAATATAATAAAATTCTCATGCCAAGATAAAACAACATAGCACTTTTTGATTTTTGTATTCTCCTTCATAATTTGTTCAGGTTTTTTGTACTACAAAAATTGCACTACAATTTGCACTACAAAAACACCATAAAAAAATTTTGTCATGACAATAAAAATAGTTATTTGCATTCTAAACCTTGACCATAATCTATGATTCCAAAACAAAAGTCAAGTAAAAGTAGTAAATAAACAAATATAGCTGGCTGACCGACAAGGCACTCGATGTCACCCGAATCTTTCCGAACAGTCGCTCGGTTCTGCTCAGTTCATATTCTTTTGTTCATTCGTGGGAGTGACCGCCACTGATCCATTCAGAGCGAACTTTGAGATTCCGATCAGTGCATCATTTTGCTAAACCGACTCACCGAGTCTAAAATACAGCCTGGTGACAGACGGACGGACAGCGAAGTCTTTGTAATACGGTCCCACTATAAATAATTCGACACATTTCTGCCAATTTGTGACCAAAAACGATAAATCATCAAAATGAACCAAAGACAGTATTTAAATAAAGTAACGTGGTGCCTTTACACGAAACAATAAATATTTGTGCGATTCGAAAAATCGAAACATAAATATTAAAAGAAACAAAGGGCTCCTGATAGACGATAATTTAATAATTTTTAAAACTGTTTACTTTTATTCCATCAGAAAGAACATCGAAATGCAAATCATAAATTAAAAGATTAAAATTGGTTAAAAGCTACTTTATAAACTACATAGAAATATTTAGTTTTATTTCGAGAACTATTTTTAATAGTTCTTATTTAGTTTTTCAATTTTTTTCAGTATATGACTTTACACATATACAATAAATCGAGTCTCAAAAATCGGTCAAAAGGCCGGTTTCTGAATTGAGGTACATAATCTAAACTGATAACTGATTAGATTTTTTTTGTTACTTTTCACGAGCCTTAAATTCTTAATTTTTATCAAACTGCAATTAACTATCATTATAAAATTAGAATCAGAAACGAAAACCTGTTTAAGTGACGTTAGTTTGAGACGTGCTTAGCTATAAATACTCAATTCAGAGACCTGGCGTATGTGTACGTAAGTTATTGATTATGAAACTAAATGATTTTGTAACTTAGTTTTCTAAATAGGGTGAGTTATAAAATACTAGCATTTTGCTGTACTAGGTAGACGACATAAAAAAGTTACCTTCAAATTGATAATACAAGTTGTTGGGCTAATGTTGTTAGCCTCGAATTCGTGATCAGGAGCGATTAGTGCGTCCATACAAACAGTAGGTTTCGGAGATAAGCATGCTTCGCCTATCGCTATAAGGTTCTTCATCTCCCCTTCAATATCCTTGCACAAAATTGCTACAACAAAACAGACCGAAAAATCTTAAAACATTACTAAAATCATTATAATTCTTATGGATCATAATTTCTCAAACTGGTGTTAGCGACCCCAGGGGGCAGTCTATATTGTTGGGTGTTCAATTATGTATATGAGATAAGTTTTAATTTAATTATATTATTTAAAAACGAATGTTTGCAAATTATATTAAGTGTTAAAGTATGAAATTGCCGTTTTATTGTAATAGGTTCCTTGAATTGACATAGAATCTTCATGGTTTGAAGTTTTCTTCTTTTAACAAATATGAAACATTTGAATATCGTCTTTTAACTGTTTTTGTTATTCAACTTAGACAAGAAAGATGGGTACTGCGAAAATTCGAGTGATTATTGAATACGAGTTCCGACGCGGAAGTAACGCTGCAGAAACAGCTCGAAATATCAATGTTGTGTTTGGAAAGGGTTCTGCTAATGAACGCACTTTGCGATTTTGGTTTAAACGCTTCCGTGATGGAAACTTCGACTCGAAGAACGAGCCACGAGGAAGACCACCCACACAGGTGAATAACGACGAACACAGGTGAAAAGCGATGGTGGAAGCCGATCCTAGTCAAACTACTCAGGAATTAGCGGCATGGTTTAACGTTACCATACCCACAATATCGACTCATTTGCGTGTTGAAACTTTTGTTGCCTTGTTGAATCGGTACAGAAATTAAGAAATATTGGATCGAATTGTGACATGTAATAAAAAGTGTTCTTTATGATAACCGTAAATGAAAAATGCAAGTCAAACGCCACAACAGCGTCCTAGAGCAAAACTTACCAATAAAAAGGTAATGGTAACTATTTGGTGGTCTGAGCATGGTGTTATTGACATAGTGATAGTTTTCCCCGATCTGGTCAAGCAATAACGGGAGATGTCTATTGTGCCGAACTCTGAACAATGTTTGCAAAACTAGCAATAAAACAGCCCCGAATCATCAATCGATATTCACCATTTTTTCTACATGACAACTCGATACCTCATACAGCACGAGAAAGCGTTTTGACCCTTCGGGAACTTTTCAGGAACAGTTAGAAACCATTCGTTAGCCTCGTATTCACCAGACCTTGCTCCAACGGGCTACCATTTTTTTTTCGTGATTTGGACAATTATCTACATGACAAGAAGTTTTCTTCCCAGGAGGCAGTACAAAATACTTTTACAGTGTAGTCTAGATCCTCAGGGTTCTGTCGCAAAGACATAAATGACCTTCCTATTAGATGGCAGCAATGTATAGATAATAATGGTAACTATTTTGATTAAATAAATATGTTAAAAATTAAAAAATTATCAATTTTTATTTTCAGTACAAATCGTCAATTTCATATTTTAACCCCTGTGATTTCCAAGTAAAAACAAAAAAAAAACATAGATAATGTTCACTATACTCATATATTATATTACTGTTTTAAATTTGTAAATATAACTTTTGTAACGTGAACAATTAAAAATGTTCTATTCTATTCTAACGGAACAGTTCCAAAAGTTATATTTTATGGTATTTAATTAATCTTAAGTTAGTTAAGAGTAACTGGAAGTTATATAAAACTAAAGAGCTAAAATAAACAAACAATAACTAGAATAATATTTTTTGCGGGATTGCTAGCTAGGTACCATGTATCTTGTTTTTGTTGAGTTCCCGATATTTCGGAGCTACTGCAAGCGACATGGCCATAATCACGCAAAAACTGAAGTTAACGCAAAAACTATCATTCACTTATTAGTTTGCTAGATGTCTGTTCTTTGTAAAACAGCTATAGCATGACCATATTTCACTAACCTGAGCTATTCCAGTGATCATCTATCCACCGGTGTAGCCTATTTAAGCAGTTGTTGGCTGCAAGCGCTTGCAATGGCAACGGTGCTGAGGGCAATAATGCTTGAAGCGCTGAATTTATGCGCCGCTTTATGGTAGCCTTCGACGTTTCTATTGCTGTCGAGCGGAGATGCTGAAGTTGCTCGTTGTATAAGGATTGGAGTGATTGCAGCAGGGCGGGCTGAACAGCGAAACAAGTTTATATTTCATGAAATATTGTAATTGCTGCTGTGCTGTGATAATAACTAATATGACAGAAATAAACTTTCTATATAATACAGGAGTTATTTAAAGTTTTTTTGTTATTTCTTTGGTCAAACCCAAATTAAGATTTAAAATTTTTACTTAGAGAGTAATAGAACAGAATCAGTCCTATATTGTTTAACTGTTCTCGGTTTAAACTTAACAGTATTTATGTAATGTTATCGAGGCTACATTAACTATACCTAATAGGGTATTTAAAGCATTTCTGAAAACTATTTTAAATAGTTGCTTCATACATTATAAACACACTGTCAATATATTTCATGAGAATCTGTAATATTTTCGATGAATATAATTATTACAATTTAAATAGCCAAAATCGCATAAAAATCGCTGCTTTATGTGATCACGTGGTATTTGTGACGACACATGTAAACATTTCAAAACGACAGAACCAAATTCTCAACTATTTATTTACGAAATAAACAAATTACGGAATATTACAGAAGTTAAATTTTATGTTTTGTATTTGTATCTCCTCTGGTTTTGTTTATGGAAATGAGCTACAAATCGTATTTATAAATAGAAATTTTGCATATTTCTAATAACACTGTTATGACACGATAGCTTCCTGTCTACGTGTTACGTCACATGCCGGTGAATAGAACCTGTTATTGGTTGCGACGACAACCAAATTACAGGGCGTTTTTGTCGTTCATTCGATTAAAAATATATATATATATATTTTCTTTACGTTATTTTACTTAAGCTAAACATTTTTTGTCTGCAAATTCTAAGAAATAAACTTTATTACATTATTATCTAAAAGGATGACCATAATACGCAATTTGATTTTAATAGTGTCAAATACTCTATTATGATTACTTTTAATTATCGTTTATCACTTTTGTATATAAACAAACACAATGCTCTGATACCGTCTTCCAAATTTGCTATACCTATTCAAATATCTATTCGTTTTAGTACCTAACACTATTTTTCATCTATTCTTAAAACCTTTCGCATTTTCTACTGAAATAATACGAGGAAAAGTACCGAAGAAATAGTAACTCACCTGTCCTATATGCCCCCTTTCTTTGACTAGTGTGGCCGCCCGTGCCCTGGCTGAATCCCGTACTGAGGCGAGAGTGACATTAAGATCACGCACTGTGGCCGCAGCTACGCGTTCAGTCACCATCTCGACTACACGGCGCGAAGAAGATGGCTGACTCTTGAGCATCTCTTCCTCCAGACGGGCCTTTTGGAAACCACAGATATGAATGAATGTTAGTTAACAAGGAGTTTAAGATTGAAATCAGCTGATAATAACTCCATTCAGTACGTAACGACATTTTCAAATAATTGTATATTTTATTATTACTCTATATAATACCTGTAAAATATTTGTTTAGTTCTGTTTTGTATCAACGGATAACATAACGAAGGCGAGCTTCATATTAACGCTAGTAAGTAACCAATAAAGTATTAATAAAATTAATATTTTTAAGTGTCTATATGTGCATTCATTTTGTTTCAAGCGATCATAAATCACATTAATAATGATTTTAAGGTAAAACTTACCTGCAACTCTCTCTCCTTATTTCTCATCCTATCTTCCGGATTCAAACTCAAACTAACAGGTGTTATGTGTCTGAAACTGCCTATATCTTTCTGGTCATTACTAACTTTACATGTCGATAACAACACGTTCACATCTCTCAAATAAGGGCACAGATCAAACAGAATTACTTCATCTATCACATCATAGCAATCAAGGTTTATTTCACTTACAACACTGACACTATCACAAAATATATGCTGAGGATAATGTGGCAAATCAAATAACCAACCGAGAACACTTTTAAGGAATATAACCGTATTCTTCTTTAGCAGATTCTGGTTCATTTTTAAACGGTGTATGTATACATGGTGTAATGTTTTAAGAAGATCTTGATAGTATTTAGTACGAAGAGAAGTGTAATCAAGCATGGACAGGTAGTGAACTATCCATGGTACTGTTATAGTTAGACGGGAATGCTCATACGCATTCAGTAGTATTCCTTTAAGGTCGATCGCGGGTTGGATCTGAAAAGATTTGAGTGATTCGTAACTTATCTCATTATAAATATATAGTATCTTATTTCCTATGCAGTAAATTTTCTAGGAAAATAATTACTTATATTGCGAAGTCCAAGCAAAAGAAAACATTTTTAACTAATTGAGATCAAACACATGAATCAAAATAATAAAACGAATGTTTCTCTGCTATCTGAGAAAATCTTCGTAAGTCTTCAATAAAGGGTTATACAACTATACTATAACGCAGTGTTGACCATCAACGACTTAGTCAATAGCGACGACTTTAACTATATTTTCTTCAGATATATGTTTATACAGGTAATCACTGATCACCTGCCGATATTTTGGTCGCAAACACACCAAGTTGACAAACAAGTAAGAGTGGTCACTCTTTCTAGCAAATTAAATATTCCACTTTAAAAATGATGTAAAAATAAGATTTCGACGCTTTACTACGAGTTGAGGCTGCGTTATGTGCAAACTCTTTAATACTCACATTATTCCTTAAAGCGATGTTATTTTCCAGTACTTTGTCCTTTGGCGGCATATAATGGGTGGCCACCTCTCTTGGTACAACTATGTTTTTAGAACTGGGTTCTGGTATATACGTATAAGGCAGTGACGTAAGAAAACCGAGAAATTTGGACAGAAGAGACAGTTTCTTCGCAAGATTGTGATATTCCTTTGACGTATCCGAGTTATTTGCTAAACAAGGAAGATTTAATTTTGATTTTAATTTCTATAATCATTGACTACATGCACTAATCACGCATTTTTGTGAGAAAGATTATATAAACAACTTAAATCAAACTAATTATGAATGAAGCGCTTAAAAGTATATTCCATGCATCAAAGTTTCTTAACGATTTGGCGATCAACTAAACAACGATACAGACATATAAATAACATAATTAATTTTAACCTTTAAAAGTTTTATAGCAGCTTAAACGGCGAACGCTAGAATATATTTCGATCTATAATAATATTAAACGCAACTCCCTTTGGTGGCAGCGCCTCTAGGTTGAGAAGCGATGCCAAGCTAAGTTTGACAAATGTTTGCGAAATTGTAACTTCTTAACTCTCGATTTTTTGAATTTTAATAAAATATTACTTTAATCATTTTAAAGAAGATATGTTAAATATAATTGTATAAGTAATAAAAAAACTCACAACTTCCTCTATCTTCAACGGCTATGGGTGTGGAGTTCAAAATTGTTATTTCTGAACATAATGCATCCCTCAAATGAATTCGGAACGGCTCGTTCTCTGTGTACATTATGAATTCCCTGTGTAAAAAAGGAACATTTTCATTGTATTCAAATATATCATTATCTCATGTCTTATCTAAAAATTTAGAGATGCTAAAAAAATGCTATGCAAAGAATTTCTTTTTTACTATTTTTCTTTTTATTTGTCCAGACAAATATCTACTTAAAATGAACAATAGATTCATTAAATCAATTTTATTAAATAATAAATAAAAGTACTTACTTGTAAAACGTTTCTTTGGCAGAAAAGTTTGGGAGACGGTGGGATTCCGGTGCGTTTGGACACGTGAGTCGGCGATGTAGTTTACTCAATTTAGATTCCTGCAATATTTATAATAATAATATACTTTAGAATGTTAAGAGTTGTAGTAGTTTACTTTAAGACTTATACAGGTGACGTACAGTTGACATTCTATATTTTTGTAGCTTCCCATGTATTTTTACTTTATGTCATATCAAATGCAGTGCCTTTTCAAATTGGTCGTACTACGTAACTAACCAAAGTTACGTTTAAGTCACGCGAAATATATTGCAGACACACAATCAGACGAGCGAGCTCCGACTTCAATTGAATGCGAAAAACATTAAATTCGAATTCGAAGTCAACGTGTAAGACCATAGAGTAAATGTTTATAAAAAAAACACCTGAACATTAGCGGGTAGACACTCTGCGACCATATGCTGCATAAATAAAGCAGCTAGATGCGCGTAGTTAGCCGGGGATACTCCACAAGATAATAACGTTTTTATACGAGCACGAAACGTTGTGCGCGAACATCCTGTCGATTGATGCTCTTGATACCACCTAAAAAATATTATTGTAATTCAAATACATACTACAAATTATTTATTATTTTCTAGAACATATTCCATAAAAATATTGTAGATTTTTTCCACAAAATTTCAAATGTATTTGTTTTTATTAACAACAAGTGTCTTTAATTATAATCATATTACATACCTCAAAATCTCATAGAACATATCTCTCTGTTTCTTGAAATTTTGGAAGCTCAACACTGATGGAAAATTATCTACGTTGTCTGTTTCATGGTTAAAGCATATCACACCATTGGAACACCTATTGGAGCTCAGATTCTTCTTATCTTGATTATTTTCCAGTTCGCATTTCAAACCATATGAATTCAACAAGAACTTAGCTAAATCAGGACAGAAAGACCTAACTTTCTTATTTTCCCCAAGAATTTTCAATGAATTCTTATCCAAAATCACTTCCAATATACCTCTCATGTTCCACAAAGATCTCACGGCAAAATAAGTACAGTTATGTATGGATTTTAATAGAAAATTTAGGTTCTTATCATTTAAATTTGATTCTACATCATTATAATCGTCTTCGTATTGTACAGACAAGAGGATAGTTATCAAAAAGTAAATTTCAGTGTTGACACTTAATATTAAATTAGTGTTTAATAAAACTTCATAGATGTCCACCAGAAAATCAAGCTTTTCTTTTAGAAGAATTTTAGTAACATCAGGTTTGACAAAATTTTGACTCTTCTCAAAAGATTCCTTTTGCGTTATTTTGATAGTAGGAGTAGGAGGTTTAGGAGATGATGAAGTATTTAAAATATTGAATTTCTCCATTAGTTTATGCCTTTCGAGTTTTAGCATACTGCGTTCGGCGTCGAAACTGCTAGCAGATTCTTTAGGTTGCACATTTTGCTGTTGCTTAAATGCTGCGTTATCTTCAAGAGCTAAAGGAGACGGTTGTTGAAAACAATCCGAATTGAAACTATTTAGGGACAGACTCTTCCTTGATGTGCTCTTGTCTATATTTGTTGGTTTTATCCTTCGTTTTTCAGATCTCAACGAACTAGCCTTCCTGGCTCCAATCTCTGGGAATATATCTGAATTACTCAAGTCTAATTCTATTCTAGTTTCACTATCGTCAGAAGCGTTTTTTCCACCTTTTTTCTTTTTAGAACTCTTTTGGACGTTTACCATGTAGTCTCCTAGACAACTTTTCTCATGAGATCTGTGTCTATGGGTTAGCCTAGGGGTGTCGCACCTCTCATTTTCTCTAAAACTCTTTGGTGACACAGGACTAGCAAGATTAGGGTAGTCAGAGAATTTAAGACCATTCTTTATAGGTGTACTTGATATAGCAATTCTTTCCATTCCTAAACTGAGCCTAGATTCATCGGAGGATACAGACAAATTTTTGTCTTCAGGAAACAGTTTTGTTTTAACTCTCCTGCCAGTTTTTTTGCGATCTTTACTTGGAGATTCATGACTGCGTTGGGTCTGTGATTTAACTGAGAGACAATCTTTCCGATCGTCGCTTGTTGGGTCACTGATAGATCTTCTATGTTTGCGACGTGCGTTATGAACTTTCTCAGGAGTTTGATGCAGTGGTGGTAGTGTGCTGTTATTTGTTTGAAGAATGCTGAAACATGGTACACACAGTAAAAATAATTCAACTACCTACGACGTTACAACTTTTAAAATATCAATAACAATTTATTAATAAAAACGTTACATTAATGAAGTGGATGGATTCAGTTATGATTTTAAATTTTTTTTCTATACTAGACATAATATTACAGGTGTATACGTCTATCTATATAGTCTATCTGTCTATCTATATTTATGTAGAAGTCTTTAAGTCAGTTCTAAGATTATGTATCAGAGTTTGAAAGTTTGTATGAAAGTCTGTCAATATTAAAGGTAGAAATATGATAGTTTGTTTTTGAGCTATTTATTGAAATTAAATAAACATCTGTTTCAGCATTCATGGAATTGCTATGTCTAAAGAGGTAAAGTAGGGGTAGAAAGTTTTGTATGGAAGAAAATCATGTCACTGGCACAGGCAAAGCCGTTGGCAGAAAACTTCTAAAAGAGAAAATTATTATGTTTAATGAAGCTAAGAACATTACAGTATATTTATTATTATTATTATATCCTTTAAGTCTTTAAAAGTTTTGGTGGAATAAGGAAAGTCCCATATACATAGGGTTAACATTTGAAAAAATCAAAAGTCTAGAGAAAATTATTAGTGTAAAATAAATCCAATATTATTTTTACCGAGCCAAAGAAGCCACTAAAACAGTTAAATCTGGTACTTGCACTGGCTCTAATATCAAAACATATCCTTTATAATCAATTTAACTGTGGGCTGTTATATGATGGTATCATTCTTTTTAAATTTAATTTATAAAGGATATTGATAAAACAAAGTATTCTAGACAAAAATTCTTTCAGATTTTTTAATATCAACTGTTTTGGACCTAAATGGGGGAGAATGAAGGGATCATAAGTTAAGTTAGATTAATCAAATGATTGAATATTAAAATATGTCATACTCTGATTTAAAAAGTATCTCAGTTACAAAATCAAATAAAACATACCTGCTCGTTTGGCTTCTTAAATATGACAAAAAATAGGCAACGAACTCATTTCTATTACAACAATATATAACGCTGTCGCCAGGTGTGTCCTGTAAACAATAATGTTTAAAATTAACACGAAAATATTAATTACAATTTTTAGGTTATAAATTCCCTTTACATTTTCATCTTTTAGCCATTTCAGTAACAAATCACTGTCGAATTTTCCAGTAAGAACGCTTTCTATTATAGTTTCAGGCATTTCCTATACTAAAACTACTGCTTTTTTGCTATAAATTGATTTCAGATTTCGACAATCAGTTACATTTGTTTGATGTCGTAGTGTTGTTTATTTAGTTAAATGTTAAGGGAACTAGCCATACAGCCAAATATGACAGACAAGTAGTTGGGTAATATTAACACGACAATTAATACGTCTGTAGACTTTAATTTTGATCGCCATCTTTCATTCATTTAATTTTCATTTTATTTGTAGATTAATTTATTCACTTGACATTAACAGAATTGTGCAAAATGCGAAGATAAGCCATTAATTAAAGACGAAGAAGTAATATGTCAATACATTGGCCCTGTCAAGCGACATTAGCTGAGACAACCTTCACACAAACTGACCTTCACATAATTTTTGATATTGTAATATTATGGAGTGATTGTCAATAAAAATATTCTTAATTTTATATCATAAGTAATTTATTCAAAGTTAAAGCAATGGTATAATTGCAGATTTGTTTCTTATTAACATATATTTATTGTCATAATATAAACTAAAGCAATTATTCATTTTACTTTGACCAATAATAAATCTGGAATTTCATTCTGAACAAACTAACGCCGATACATTGTTATGTCTGTGGATCCGTTGCCTTTTTAAACACTCGTGAAGTATCAAAAAATAAAACGGACACTCTTTCCGATTGGAACTGTTTATATCCAAATATATGTTGTTACCAAGTAACTGTTTATATCCATTCTGTAAGATAACACGGATATAATTACAATGACAAATTGAATAGTATACAATTGTTACTATGGTAACGTTTTCATTCCCTATACAAAAGTCCACTCCCATTTTCATTCCTTTATTTGCTGTTTTTCGGGATAAAACTTAGCCTATATTCACCGCATATAATGTAGCTTCTTGTAGGTAAAAGAATGTTTAAAATCACTCCAGTTTTATCGAAGTCTATTCGGTGCAAACAAACAAACAATCAAATATTTCCTATTTATAATATTATAATATGAATATAGATCTTTGGAAATAAATAACTGCTATAATTTTTACTCAAATATCTTTTGCGTCTATATCAGAAAAAACGTCCCAAAATTACTGTGTAGTGTTGCCAGCCACATAAAAAAATATCACCCTCTCACGGAGAAAGATGAGTTGGAGGGAAAAAAGAACTTAACCTATAATAACCATTAACTATATGATCAATTAAAAGTACAGATAATCATCTTTGTCTTTAACTTCTGACGGCTAGATATCAATACAAATACGAAAAAGTACAAATAGAATATGAATGGTTTATTTAGTTTTAAAAACTAAGGTTGTCATGTAGAAATCAAGAACGTGCTGTAGCGACATCTAGTCTGATTTCGAGAAGTAATGGTTTTTTTAAATACATCCTCATTACCGTAAGATATGGCGTTGACTGAGTTTGGGTTGAGTTTGCAGATCTTGGTGCTTGATGGTTTAATGACAGAGTCGCGTTTTGCTCGACGTGGGCCTGTTTGATACGGCCGACGCTCATTACGATTTGTTTACCTTTAAGTTGCAAAGTAAAGGTTTTACCGTCACTAAATCGATCGATCGGCATCTTCGCTGTGGAAGCTTTAAGGTCTTACTTGGGCGCATGGGTGGTAGTTTGTAGTTCTAGTTCTTTTTACTGCACAGTGGTGTAAAAGTAGGTGAAAAGATCGGACTCGAAGTGTCGTCCATGTTCCGTGGTGATAGCACAAGGAACTACAAAGCGGGTAATCCAAGCGAGTAGAAAAGTATCAACCACTTCTTTAGTAATTATGCCTATCATCAGCCACACTTCCAGCCAGCGAGTGTAAGGGCGTTTGTGCACTACACTGAATTTTCAGGTCCGGCAGTCCGATTTTTTCTGGTCCGATACGTCAGGCCATATGCAAGTAATGCACTGTCAGGTATTTTACGGTCCGAAATTATACTTTTCTCTATTACGGACGGTTTTTTCCGGTCCGTGATGGCGGCATGAAAAACGTGTTTACTCTTGTGCACTGCTGTGTCCGCGATCCGGAAATTTCATGAGCCTGCGGAGTTGGCTTGATTTATTGATTTAATCATCGTATGTTTCTAGTATCGATACTTAGCTAGATTCTAGAATCGTATTAAAAGTATCGATAACTTAAGGTAAGACAAATAAGTGTTGTTACGCTTAGACACCTAAGCAACTGAACCCATCTTAATGAAATTTAATATAGAAATAGACTCAACCTTAAAAAAGGACATAGGCTACCTTTAAGAAATAATTTGTTTTGAGACTATTAATAAGATAAATAAATATTTAATAACAGAAGTTTTGTAAAAGAAAAAGAATTCTACTCAAAGAAACTATACCACGAGTATAAAATAAAATCTAGTAAGTATATAGATATATAATGCAGCCAACTGATCTTACAATGATTTCAAAACTTAAAAAAAGGATGGCAGATTTAAATGCCACCGTAAAGTTAATTTAACATACTAATTCTCCGCTTACACGGCACTAATTTCGCTTTGTTTACGAAAACGCATCAACGATGGTCTATGTCTGTAATCGTTTGAAGTTATTTTTACACAACTTCGAAGAAAAATAGCATAATTATAAATTTGAACATCAAGTACGAGAATATTATCCGTAATTTTATTCGAATGTCACAGATATTTTTAGCTAATGTATGTGAATAATGCTGTTCCAAAATTTGTTATTTATATTTGTTGATTATAGTGCAACTAGTAGCTGTTATTTATGATTTTATTACCGTCTATTTTCATTATAGGTAGGTATAGAAAGTGTAACTTTATTTTGACAGCATCTGCATTACTGCTTACATATTTTAATGCATATTTTTTGTGAGAGCTTATTCCGTTCCGTTAGAAGCACAGAACACAGAAAGACGTTTGAAGGGCCTTGTGGGCGTGGCAGTGTAGCCACGATCCTGGACAAATGTACAGGATCGTGACTTCACCACGCGAACGCGATATTTAGTCATTCATGAACGCGCGCGCTGTAAGTACTGTGAAACGTGCCACTAAAAATGTAAAAAATGCGCAATGCGAAATTCGTGAAATGTTATCAAAAGTGTGAATCACAAAATATATTTCCAAGGAAATATACATTGCTGGAGAAGTACGCATATTTATTACATTGCGTCGTACTAAGCACGTAATGTAAAGAACATTGCGAAATCACCGTTTAAATAATAACATAATAGATTACGGTAGATGGGTAGTGAAGTGCCTGGAAACATTTAATCGATTCTTGGTGTGTTAGTTAGTAAAAACGAAATAAAAGTAAGGACTATAAAAATAGTGGTAATAAAATTAATTTAGTTATTATTTTGAGAAATAGTTTAGATAAGTAGTTTTAATTTAATGTCAGAGAACAATTATCTTTATTTTTAGAATAATTTAAGAATAAGAATAATTTAATTTAATAAAATATAAATTTAATCAGAGATTACCAATAGCAATAAATAAGATGTAACCCTATTCTTGACTACCATATTAACTTCGTTTGGTATGCGTAAGTATATTAATTTAATAATGAGTGTGGTGTAACGAAACAATATGTTTTTATATTGTAACAGAAGATAAGTTTTTTATTATTATTTTGAACCATTAACAACAATACTTATTAAATCATCGGAATCCGTTCGGGGTAAATTCCAATAGCATTTATTGTACTAATTGTATTTTTTTATTTTGTATACATTTATTTACATTATATTGTTTGTCAATATTACTAGTTTCATTTAAGCAATGTTGCCGATCTTATCTGTTTACTTTATACATCGAGTAACGTAACGTAAAAAAAATATAATTAATAAACAAACATACAAATAAATATTTAAGCACGACTGGTACCGATTCAATATTGTTCATTATTAGGAAGTGATTTAAATATTTCTTACTGAATCAAACAACTAATTAACAATTAATATCTAAAGAAAAAAGATAATGTCATATTTAATCAATAATATTCAATGTATATCCAAAATAATATAACTCCACTATCCTTTCAATTAATTGTATTGTTGTTTTTCAATATCGATAGTAAACAACTTTATGTCAATCACTAGTGTAATATGTCGAATTAAAATGGCTATTACAGGTTTATTACGCACTCTAGATGTCTGTTATGGTTGAGCATGATTGGTTATAGTTATATCGGAGCGTTCTGATTGGCATGTTGTAAAATGCAAGTGTGTGGATATCTGTTGTATAATTGGTCTAATATTTCGTCTGATGTAATGCGGACGAAAAGTGGGGCAAGGCGTATGCATGTCTTAAGAATATATAGCTTTTAGTATTTAAACTGCATCATCCTCATAAGTATAGCTATAATAACTATGAGCATGAAAAGAAGTTTAGATATCTTTATGTTTCTCTTAAAATTCTTGATTAAAGGAACGCATACGCAATCCCGTTCCGTTTAAAGTGGCACAAGATGTCAACAAATATGGCGACATGACAGTTTTAGTGATAGGAAATATTATTATAAATTTGATTGATTGAACTATCTTAATTATGTCATTCAGTGACTGACATTTTTCATCCAATTTGTTTTAAATGAATACGACTATTCTCAGAGTAAATAATATACAGCGTGTTTGGTAATACCTGTATAATCCCGAAACATGGCCATATAACCTAGCACAAAGAACACAATTGATATGTCAAAAAACAATTTCACGTAAATTGATATTTTCATACAAATATTTGAACAATTTGTTTTCAATTACTATGCTACAACCCTGTAAGCTTATACGTGCCGTCCCGGCGCGCTCGCTCTTTCTCTCTCTCTCTCTCTCATTACCTCTCACTCTCTCGTTTCCTAGAATACATTTTGATGTTGCCGACGCGCGCACTCGACTACGTATGAGTTTACTTGTAATTAAAACAATTTAAGATTAAATAGGTACATACCTACAGCGTTCTAATCACTCTTTCAGCTTTCACTTGGCAACATTACCTACACTTTACCTCCACTTTATCAGTCCAGGGTCTCGATATGTCGGCCACCGCATAAAACACACATCTCCATTCGACTAGACACAGACCGTGTCGTGTTACTCTCGACGTAAAATCATATCCTCTGTCT